AAAAAAAAAAAAAAAAGACCGAGACTTAGCAGTAAGAAAAGCATCATGACATAACTTGTACAAGCCTGTCCTTTTTCTAGAATGTTTTTTTTGTTAGGTGTGGTGCCACACACCTGTAGTCCCAGCTAGTCAGGAGGCTTAGGATAAAGGATCCCTTGAGCGCAGGAGTTCGAGGTCACAGTGAGCTATGATTGTGCCACTGCAGTCCAGCCTGGGCACCACAGTGAGACCCTTTCTCTAAAAAATAGAAAATTAAAAAAAAAATTTTAGAAAAGCCTGAAAATAATTATTCCTTTGAATGGATAGAAAATAAATAATATCCTGAATATTCTTTGGATTCATTAATAATATATATGGTTTATTAAAAGGAATATGGTGTTAAGATTCTCATTGGCCTCTGGAGTTAGTTACAGTAAAAATCATGCACTTTCGGCATGTGATTTGTATCTAAACTAAAAGATTTTTGGAGCAGAAGGGAGGGGAAACTATCGATGTAGCGTGGGAAAAATTAAAGGGATTTAGTAGTCTTCTGAACAGATAATCAGCAGCACTCATCATGTCATATTCAAGAGACCCAGTCCACCCCCTTCTTTAAGCACCACGAGCCTGAGATAGACAAGCAGGAGGAGTGAAGGCGAACATGATGTGCTCTCAGTCTGCACAGACCATCACCAACCAATATGGCTGGTAGAACAGGAAACTGAGCTGTTGGGAGTCTTATAGCTGGTGAATAGTGAAGCTGGAATTTGAATTTGGGTTTGTCTGAACTCAGAGGTTCAATGTCTATAGAAGAGACATGTGGCTGCATAAGGCTTCTTGGAACTGGTGAAGTGGGACACCAGGCCTTTAAGAAGTGGGGCTAAGATAAGGTCAGAGTGTCAGATTTTGGCTAGGAGGGCACCTTGAACCGAAATGAACAGATTGAACGAGGGTCACCGAGTCAACAAGAAACGCAGGTTTTACTTTGGGAACCTAGGGGAAAAATGAAATTGTTAAGGTTACTTTTGTTAAGATCATGGAGGGGTTTTGTTTTGTAAGACAGCGAAGCATTAGGATTAAATAGTGCAGCAAACATGTTAAAGATAAAGATGGGTGGAGGTGTTATGAAATGGAAAGATGGAAAGAAAGTTCTGTGGTTAGTGCTTAATGTGTGTTCACAGGGGAGGAGATTGAAGGCATAGTTTTTCAGATGAAAGCCAGAGACCGTCTCAGGCCTGCTCTAGGTTCATGCCATTAACTTCATTCAGTTTCATTTATAAGTAAATGTCCAAACGTAAACAGAAGTAGATAATGGTGTAGTGAATCCAGCATACATCACTCCGCTTTCATCTTGTTTCATCTCTACCCTCCCCCTTCTCACCCCTCACTCCCTACCCCCTTTATTATTTTGAAGTAAATTCCAGATGTTGTGTCTTTTTTCTGCTTTCTTTGAGACGGAGTCTCGCTCTGTTGCTCAGGCTAGAGTACAGCGGCGCAGTCTCAGCTCACTGCAACCTCTGCCTCCTGTGTTCAAACAATTTTCTCCTGCCTCAGCCTCCCAAGTAGCTGAGATTACAGGTGCCTGCCACCGTGCCCAGCTAATTTTTTGTAGTTTTAGTAGAGCGGGGTTTCACTGTGTTGGCCAGGCTGGTCTTGAGCTCCTGACCTTGTGATCTGCCCGCCTCGGTCTCTCAAAGTGCTGGGATTGCAGGTGTGAGCCACTGCACCTGGTCCAGATGTTGTATCATTTAATTGGTAAATATTTCAGTATGTGTCTTTAAAAGATAAAAAAGAGACATAATACAGTTATCGCCATTAAAATATATTTATATCAATTATCCAGTATTCAAATATTGTTTAATTTACATCATGGGGTAGTTTGAATCAGGATCCAAATAAAGTCCAATCTTAACAATTTGTTGATATCTTTAATCCCTTCATTTCTAGGATTTTCCTCTATCTCCTCCTCCTCTTCTCTTCCTCTCCCTTTTTTTTTTCCCCTTTGCCATTTATTTATTGAAACTGGGACGTTTGTCTAGTAGAGATTCTTACAGCCTGGAATTTCCTGATTGATTTGTGATGGTTTAACATATTGCATGGTCCTTTTTATTTCCTATAAATTAGTGGTTTGATCTACAGGTTTTGCCAAATTATCATTTTTTGGTGGGTAGGATATTTTATTCCTGATCTGTTCTTTGGTAAGCACCAAATGCCTTGACACCGCCCCCCCCCCCCCCGACCCATTCCTGGTGGTGTCACTGATGCTCTCTACAATCTTCATTTCCAGTATATTTTTACTGCATTATTTTGCAGTCATCCTTTTGCCATAAGACTGCCAGTAACAAACAGCAAAATGTGTTCTGTAGCACATTGCTTACCAGGCAAAGTAGCTGTTAACATGATAAGTATTCTTGGATATGTGCCCGAGTTTTGTTCAGTTTTATGTGTTTGTCCTCGTACATTTGTTTTTGTGTTGCTCTGTCTAATTCTAAGTGTAAGCGCATAGAAACCATTCAGTCAGCCATTCACCTGGCTTCTATCCAGTACCCATCCGTGCTGGGCCCTCGGGAATCTGAGACAGCAGCATCCCTGTCTTAGAGAAATGGAGTCCAGTTTGGGATACACAACAAATAGTTAAAATATGGCATTCCAAGTTCTTTAAGTGGAGACGTTTGAAGTTGGTTCCTCTTAAAGAACTTGGAATGCCATATTTTAATTTAGTTGTGGTAGTTGTTTTGGAGGATGATAGGGTTAACTTCTAGCAGGATCTTGAGGACAGTGAGGAAGAGGAAGGGCATCCACTTGGACTGGCTGTGGTCACAGAGGAGCAGTGGTCACATGGCCCATGGCACCCGAGCAGCTGAACGGGTGGAGCACAGTTTTGCCCTGCACCCTGGGGCCGGCGTTGTGGAAGCTGACCTGGCAACCGGAGGGTACCTGAAGAGCTCTTCTGAGCCCAGGCTGGGGCTCAGACTTCCTTCCGTAGGCCTTGGGGAGGCATTTTCCAAGCACTCGTATTTAGGAAGTCAGCAGTATTGACCCCAGTGCAGGTGTTCGCTGCTGGATCAGGAGGAAGGGGATGGACTGGATGATGATTTGGGCTTTGTGATATGTCAGACCTGTACAGATTGCAGAAGCGATAATGAGCTGTATGAGGTGGCTCTGAGTGATCTCATTTGGGTGATTGCCTTCGGTGAGGTGGGGGCCCAAGGGAGAAGGAACAGGTCTGTGGGGTCATTTGGGAGAGTCATTTCTTGACCTGATGAGTGTAAAGCACTCTCCCTATAGGTCCAAACATTAAGGACGCAGTTAAGAGATGCGGGACCGCCTGTCGAGATTTGGGAATCACCACAAGCAGGGACGCACATGGAGCCCTTAAAGGCCAGAGAGAAAGAGAAGAGCCAGTCGAGGATCCTGAAAGACAGAATCTTGCAGGTGGCCCCTTCC